GAATTCGCTTAGTACCAAAGGACAAGAGTAACCAAGCGGAATCAATAGTGGGGCATATAAGTGGAAGTGTGAATTCAGACACAGTGAGGTACTGCGAGTAGTAAATTATGCAACCACCTCCTCTGCCTTGTTTTCGATCACTTCTAATAAGCTTATAACCATCAATAGAAAGCAGCTGGCTGGGCGTAGAATCATGACACCAGATTTCAGTGAGTAAAATCATATCAGGTTTATTCAGACTTATGAAGGTGCGGAGTAAATGAAGTTTATTCAACAGAGAACGAATATTAATTATCACCAGTATTAAAAACTCCTGGCGTTGTTTATCACTCCGTCCAGTATTTATTATTGCAATCACATTAGTTCTAAAGCGTTCCGCAGCAAATCCCTTACCGTGAGATTCGCCAGTCCTATCGGGATTAGGGGGGGGTGGGGGAATGCAAAAAGAATGCTGTGGTAAGTTGGGGCGATTGAGCTTAAGTGGATAGGGTGTCATTGCCGAAGGGCTCACAGAAGGCATTGTGAGAGGAGGAGGCGGAATATAGTATGGATAGGGGCATAAATAAGTGGTCTGTGATTCAGCAAAGCCATGTACAGGCCTGCAAGGAGAACAGCCTTGGCTCATCGCCGGAACAATGTGGAATTGTGGCTTGCCACTCTGTGCAGCTGCATTATTATTCACGACTGTCATTGGGACACGGGGAGTCACCTCTCCAACACGAAGGCCCCTGTTTGATCTAAGACGCTTAGGCCGCGAACCATGACCACTGCTGCTATGTGTAGTCATAATGTCAATGGGCCGTAACGTACCTTCACTGGAGTTATCGACAGTCCCATTTGATGTTTTTGGACTTGTATCTGTTTCAATAGTGGTGTGGGGATTGATCCCAATCCCTACTGGTTTGTCAGAACGTGGTGCATCGAGTGAAGCTACACTATTTCCTATGTCCACAAGACTAATGTGGTGTGGAGGCGTGAGCATCTCAATTTCCGCTACGTTGTCGCCAGTCTTAGCATCGTTCGTGTGGAGAGTGGCCTTGCTAACATTACCTGCCTTTTTAGAAGGGGAGAACCAAACACTGTTGAATGATCTCCTTCTTTGCAATCCAGGAAGCGTGCAGGGAGGATGACTCTGCTTCGGCTCAGGCGAGACATTAGTTGCACTCATGCGTTGAAGCTCACGTTGCAAAGGTGACCTGTCTACGAATAGAATAACTTTGCCAAATTTCGGGACAGATCTTAAAGTATTTTGACTTTTGATAAACGAATTTGCGAGACTTTCGCTACGGAAGCTGAACAGAGTCGGACAAGGAAAACGCAAAGATTTTTTCTTCAGTCTTCTACAACTAATATCGGTTTCAGCGATGTTGCACGCTCTCGAAACAGAGCGCCTAATGTTGTCAATTGCGATATTGTCAGCTATGTTGAGGGCGATGACGTTTTTTCCCCTTCTGCATCTTTGATTAACCTCAGAGGCGATTGCATTTAGGAAGTTTAAGGCTCCAATTTTGTGCTTTTGCTCTGGATTAGCCGGAGACTGAATTATGTATGAAACTGACATTAGGAGATCTCCGAATGAGTCAAACAACTTTAGTTTCTCATTTTGTTCCTCTAACTGTTTTTCCAACGTCTTTATTTTGGCTGACAGTGAAGATATAAGGTCGACAACACTAACTGAACTTTCTGTGATTTGTTCTTTGGACTTATTTACCTGCTCTTGTATCCCAGCCTCGGAATGTGTGCAACAGGGCACAGGTTCTTCGACACTCGTGACGGCAACATTATTTACCGTGATTATTCGGTTTTCCACACGCTTTTTCCTCATTGCACGAGTAACCATGGCAGTCATCAATCTTGTAAATGAGAAGATCAAAGCTATCTATAGTATATGCTATAGCCAAGCGTGAATTCTGGAGTAACAAAAGTCGCTAAGGTCCAGTGATTTACCTATTCAAGTCAACAGACAGGCCACTGTTTCAGATGCAACCAATGATACAAACCAACCGGATGTAAGAGTGCTCAGTTGTCCAAATTCCGCCAAGGGTACATGGTCCTTGAGTAATCGACGGCTCCGTGCACAGGTATCCCTGAGGTCAACTCCGTGTGTCACGTTATGCCGCAAGTTCCAACAGGCGCACACGCACAAATCCGGCCAAACAAAGAGATTTGTGTGCGTTCGACAGAACGCGATTCACAATGCAGCGTGAGAGCTCTTGGTCAACCAAGGCAGTGTACGAAAATGGAATTGCTTCTAGTCGCCTTATTCAGCTACCGACAGGGTTGGTTTAGGTCTCCTGAAGTAGAGCTAGCAGTAAGCTTTCCGTTAATTCCAAAAACCTTGATGAAGGTAGAAAAGTGGTGCACTCGTAGGCGAACGACAAGGCTGAAACAGCCAGAATCGAAAACCGGCGTTAGACGTTGATCCGTTAATAGTAGCCTCGAGAGAGTTCACGAAATGGGTAGACCTGATCGAGCCCGATTGAATGAGTGTACCCAGGCCAATGTGCGAAAAGATTTGAATCCGAAAACTTGAAAAGTCAGGAGCAACGAAAATTTCCCGACCAGCACGACCCAGCACAACGTTATTGTAGATTGTATATGCCGTTTCCAATATGTGAATTCGGGTTCGCGGAGCAGATGGAAGTGGCGCGCAGTTGTAATCAGCGGAAGATTTGCGCACATACTTGTTTAGATTCAGATGCTTAGTGCTTACCGATTGAAAAAGACGAATGTATGGACAATGGCATGGGAAAAAATAAGAAGGTTCCGTTCTTTTTTATGGCACGCTGGCGGAAGTGTGTTGCTCACCTTCAGCTAATGTGCTATGATGATGTTGAATTATCTTGTCTTTTTCCAGTGATTTCCATGGTTTTGTTTGGCTTTGTCTATTCGGAAGGCTGTTGCTAATATATATATATATTCAGCACTATACCAATTACAATATAATTGGCTGAGTGCCACAACACGTAAAAAGAAAAAAGGATAGCGTGAAAGGGCAAACAACTGTTAGGGTAGAAGAGTCTCGTAGCAAGTGCGCCATTGCGTACGGTCCTTAGCTTTATCCTTCAGCGTTTTCAATCAGGTGTGCACGGGGTCCTTTAGGCACCTACCCTGGCGTCGGGAATGCCCGACAACAGCCGGCTTCAGGGTTTGCGCCTAAACGCATTGGATCCAAGTTTTACATTGCCCTCCTTTTCGTTTCTTCCAAGCCACGCCTGTGCTTGCAACTATAGCTCGTCTTGGTAGCCGCTGGGTAGGCATGCGAAGCACATGACCAGGCCAGCGAAGCCTCTGCAGTGAGATGATGCTATCAGTCGATCGGCGGAGTTTGTTAGATCTGAAGACTCGCTGACAGGTTTCCTCATTACTGCTGTGATGTTGCCATCGCACACCAGCAATGCTTCGCAGGCAGCGGTGATCGAAGACAGATAGCCACTGAACATCGCTTTTGCGAACGGGCCAAGTCTCACAACCGTGTAGCAGAATCGCTCGTACCGTAGCATTCTAGACTCGTCCCTTGAGAGTGAGGTTCAGTTCATGACGAAGCCACAGGTGACGAAGGTTAGCAAAAGCGACTAGCGTTGGAGACACGCAGAGAGGTCTCATCTATCAAACCGCCAATACTAAGACAACTCCCAAGATAAATGAATTTGTCGACCACTTCCAACAGATGCCCGGAAAGGGTGAGAGAAGGACATGCGCTTGGCCAATCCCGTAATAGGACCTTAAATTTGGAAGGGGCGACGCTCAACTCTAATGGGGCGGCGGACATCTCCAGTCTGAGCAGCATACGCTGGGCGGCTTTGGAGGACTCACAGATCACAGCGATGTCATCGGCGTACTCTAAGTCCCGAAGGCGGTCACCAGTGAGCGGTTCAACACCGCAGGACTCAGAATTATCCAAGGCAGTATCCAGGATCTCGTTCATGGCGAAGTTTAACAGGAATGGCGAGGCTGGGCAACCCTGTTTAACACCACTAGTGATACTGAAAGGGGGCGAAATTTATCCGTATACTCACACGTGGCCCGAAGTTTGATGGTAAATAGCACGGACAATGCCGATGTACTTCTCAGGTACTCTCCACTTCAGTAAGTAGTCCCAAAGAGCCACTGTCAACAGAGTCAAAAGCGGCTCGAATATCCAAGAATATGACTATGGTTGGTCGACTGAACGTATGGCGATGTTCAAGTATCTGGCGGATCGTAAAGATGTGATCGACGCAACTGCGACCGGGGCGAAATCCAGGTTGCTGTTCACGCATGTGCTGTTACCGTACGCAACTGAGCCTCCGTAAAAGTAGGGCAGCTAACAGTTTGATGTTAATAATAATATGAATAGGTATATTTTCATCGCGTGAGAAACTGTGTCCCTTTCTGGCACAGATCATATTTTACAGAATACGTCATGCTCATGCATACGTGGTGAACAGTTGTGTGCTTTTCATTATCTCTGCTTTTCCATTGGTATATATTTACTCTCAGGTGGGTTTCAACACAATGTGCTCTAGATGTTCCTCTTTTTTGCAGTTATTGCCACTGTACCTGCGTGTGTTTACTACATCTCAGTTCCGTTGATCCGGTTTATCGTTTATCATCCATGCACAAATATGCATTAGCTGTTAACGACGCTCGAACCATGCCAAAAGCCTTTTGCTTGTTTGTTAGTGATTCGATGTGCATGCGGCTTTTTCAGTTGCGTTCGCACCCTCCACAATGGTTCACTGAAACCATAGAAGCGTTGTTAGGCTCGTCTTGTCGCACCAACCGAGTGACCATCCGCACGTCCTGCTACCGCATCACATGGGTGGCCAACATTTTCCGGTGGATTGTACGCCTCCGTCATTGACGTACTTACTCCTTATTCATTCAGTCAAAGTATGGACGTAAACCATAAGTAATTTCCACAATTTGCTATGATTGTAAATAACTCCAGGCGCTTAGTTCTTTTGGGCTTTAAATTGACCTTAATGTCTTGACAGTGGCATTTCGTTTTCATTATAGGAAACTCCTCTCGGCCACCTGCTCCCTCCTTCTGCTTTCTGAGAACCACTGCATTTATCCGTATATCATATCATTGTTGCCAAAAAAATGTCGTCCAGGCTAAAGAAGTCCAACAAGATGGAACCTATTATTGATCCCTCTTCCGACCCACTTTCTTCGGCTTTAGTGATGCCGAATAACTTATCATTGTCTCCTCCTGATGTAGCTGTTGATTTACGATGCTGCAAACCTCATGACTTGTCCCAAGACGTGTTACACGATGTATTTATGATTTTAAAAGAAAACATGCAAGTAAGGTTTTTCTGTTTTGATTATCATCTCTTTAGCCATTGTACGACGTTTCCAGTTGGGGATGGAACGACGAGAAAAAATGGACAGAGGCCTTTTCTTCCAAGGCCTGGTTGATTTTATCTTACGCATCTACTTCATTGGCACTTCCAACAACATTGTGCGGCTTTGTGAGTTTCCGTTTTGAGCGAGAATGCAAGGACGCTGTATTATATTGCTATGAAATCCAACTTCGCAATGAATTCAGAGGATTGTCCATTGGCCGCCACTTAATTTCCGCCTTGACCCTTATTGCCAACTGTTTCAAGATGCGACGAATTATGTTAACGGTTTTCAAATTTAATACAAAGGCTTTGGATTTCTTCTTTAAGTGCGGTTTCGAGATTGACAAATCAGATCCTTCGCACTTTGACGGTAACCCCGTAGTGGACTATCATATTCTGTCTATGACTGTCCCTTGACATATGGTAACTACCACAGATTTTCATGTATTTTCACCTTATTTTTAATTTTCTTGTTTTTGCTACACAGCTCTCTTTCCGTCGTGTTTACTATGTGATCTTGATTTTCATACGTGTTTGCTCCGAAGAATAACTTGTTAGCAGTGCTATATGTCAGTGCTTCGCTAGCTTGAACCCAAGAGTGATTGTACGCGGTTTAGGGTGCTGCAGAAGCGCTCAAACCCATGCATTGACCTGGACTCGAAAGAGACGTTTCAATCTATACACCGGTTTGTGACCCTGCTCTACTCCCTCTGGTTGCATCTGATTACGGCATTTGAACAAAATCGTACTGGATCTCACGATGACAACGAAAATTCTCAATTGATAATCCAATACATATAGTGTGAAAATCAACACGATACAAAGCACATGTGAGTGCAACTACTCAGGGGTTCTTCACAGTAGCTTCCAAATCAGACAGTTCTCCACACACCAGGAAAGTCACCAGACGTCCGTTTCCTCCTGCCGAGACTCGTCAGTAGTGCGCATCCATCGGTTTCATCATGATCCGGACCCTTGACCACTAGCCTATGGGTTATGACACTAGGCCATGGAAGACCACGGTGAACTGTCATGGTTTGCACGCTCGTGAGTACATGTGGATGAATTTGTCCGCTGTCTTGTAGCAGGCACCGCAAGGTGATTATTTGCGCATATTAAAGACTCTGATGTCATGACTATGGCGAATTGTAATGCACAAAGCGGTAGTAAGCTTTCCTTATGTAAACGGTGAAGACACAATTCAGAATCGAAAATGGATGATATTGCAATTTCTACCAACTAACTCTAAGGTACGAAGAAATCCAACGACAAGTAATCTTGATAACAATACCGGAAAAGAACCATCCTGGAGTGGTTTCTGAAAGATTTGTGGACAATGGTTAGTTTATTTGATTGCCAATGTTTCACTTTTGACACAACAACTTCGACTCACGTTGAAATCGTCAACGATAACGATACCGTCTGATTTGGTGGTTTTGTGCAAATGCCGATGACGTAGACAGTAGAGATAACCTTTGATTAAATCACTTACATTTCTTTGGTGCACGGGCGGAGACCATAACCAGATCGTAACCTTTTAACGCTGTTTGTTGACTCTGTACTAGCTTTGAAACCCAAATGAATGTAGTGGGCTGTTAATCGGAAGCCGATCCAATACGTCGGTCTCGACTTTGCTGCTTACTGCAACATCATTGCCAGCCAAAGCAGCTATGCGTCACTAGATAAACGTAGGTTGTTTGTGGCTCCCTAGTTGGCCGGAACTGTCCACTCGAGCACAGTGGTTGGGTAGTACAGCTGTTTCGGAAAGGCAGCGTCACCAGTATAGGAATGATTTAAACTAGCGTGCAATGTGCGAGAACGCAAGGTGTGATAGCTAGACGCAAGCAACAAAATCCGTGAGTATCAATGAATCCACTTATGCGTTCATCTCGAAACTGGTGTCCACAAATACGGTACATACCAGCCTGATCAAGTTTTACCCACCTTTCTGTCACATCATCAACTGACCATCTCGAATTTCCAGCCAATCAGATGCGACGACAACGTGTACTGTTCGATAAGAAAGTGGTTGATCGGTTGCTACACGGAGGACGGTTTTGGCCGTTGTATGACGGATACCTTCCGTTTACTGTTGGTCGTTGAGTACAACTTGAGGTACCAGCTACTAAGTGATCTCTCTCGAATATAACCTCACAATGGTTCGCTACCATCCCGGGATTTTCTCCATCTACGACGACCAAACATTCCTGTACAGCACGATTACTCGGAACAGCCGTTCAGCACCACTGATTCAATGCGCCGATACCCAGACAACTGAAATGTCCGTATAGGTAACATGTTGGGAATTCGCGTCCACTAAATTAGGGCCCTGGATGGCAAATTGAATCAACTGGAAAAGTATCCCAGTCGTGGACATCAGAAACAAGTCACTGTACAAACTCCTTTTCACTGGTTCCTTATCAGCCTAATACACCACGAATGTATGACATGAACGTAAACATCAGAACAGTTCAAATTCAAGGCCCTAAATAATCCGGGTGACTAGTTTAGGTGATTGGTACCCAAGCGATCAAGCGTGTGTGGTGTCATCCACACCATCTGTTAGTATTACTATGAGCCAAGGTAGATTGGTGGCCTGGACAAATTTTTTAGGAGCACATAGGTCTGGTTCATGAACCCGAATGCCGATCGCTTCGGTCGTTGTCAGTACACGAAATTTAACCGTTTATGCGCTTTGATCTGGTGGTTTGAATCATCCAGATGTGTAGACACTGCACTTGCGACAAAT